CCCCCTCCAGCCCAACCCTTCCTCTTTCCCATCTTTTAACTTTAAAAGTCCGCTTGCCTTCCCTGCACTCTGAGGCAGAAATCGATCAGAAATGCGTTTGGCATTGGCTCTTTGAGAATGCGTCATGATTCAGTGTTGAGCGTAAACACATTTGTCAACCAGCATGCATTGCTCCCAGAAGCCACACCTCCCTGTTCGCTTCAGGCCACACAACATGCGATCAGTTTCTCTAGACCTCAGAGCAGGAAATGGCCAAATTCGAAGTGAAACAGTTCCGAACACAAATTAATATATCGTGCCACAACGCGGTGGAATCAGTCTCTCGTCAGTTTTGGGGCTTGTGGAGTTATTGGTATCGTATCAAAAGTCTTTCATTTGCCTTGCTTTGTTTGAAAGAAATTCCCATTTCTTTTGAACAAAGGGTCCAGATATTTGAAATAGAAGGAGGTGGGGGTGGCCTGGTTTCAGAGGTAAAATTAGCGAGAAAATGACAGCCAAAGTTTGGATATTTACAAAGCCTGAGAGTCCGTGGAAACTGACAATTTACTTTTTTTGGTGTTTGATTATGTTTTTCAGTAAAATCCATACAGACTTGGGTTCTTAAATGGACATAACAGGTGTTGAGCAAAAAAACAACGACAAAAAAACAACAACAAACAAAACAAAAACAACCCAAACATTTCGATAAAAGTGCCATACCAGGTGACAAATGCAAGTTTTCTCATTCATTTTGACGAGCGCCTGATTTCACCACGCTACCTCACATGATGCATTATCAGGCTGCGAAAGTGCACTCTGAAATAAGGATTCAAATCCCTGGCATTTCTTAATAACGATAATTTTCTTTATATAGCGAAATATCCATGCTCAACACAACACGTTAAGCGCTGTACAGCTATTATTACCTCAGCAGGCCCTAGAACACGCAGAAATATTATCGGTTTCCCGAGAGCGCGCACAGTTCAAGCAGCCGATTAAGCGGTCAAGCACTCTCAAAATGACAGGAAATTTCGCTCTGCTGTTGACGAGTAGCCTTTTCTACCTGGCTGGGGGAAATGAGGAAAATTCACGTAAAGAGCATTTCCCATGGACACAAAATCTAGACGGGCTTTGAACCCATGATCTTTCAGTTGTAAGCCCAAGTGCCTAGCCATAAGACCACCGACACCACCATTTTGGCCGTCCATTGCTGTTTAAAACTTGCAGGTTTTTTTAACAAAATCTTTCTGTTGAAATTATACACAATGTTGACGTTGGCGTCGGTAGCCTAGTGGTTAGGTGAGATCACGGGTTTGGAGATTCGAGCCTCAGCTGTGTCCGACATTGTGTCCTTGGGAAGACACTTTACACGAATTTGTGTCCCATTTGTCAGTCTTTTCGGAGATGGACTTAAAACTCAGAGGTTCCGCTGCCTCTGAAACCTGATATTGCTGAGAGGGGCGTTAAACTTATACTGTTTCACCATTTTCTGCACAATTGGTCGCTTTTAAGGACAAGTAGGCTAACCCAGATTGTGGGGGTTTCCAGAAATCTTGACCAACACCAAAAGTGGATATTGCCTTTCCTATTGGAGAAGTTTGGCTTCATTGGTGTGTATAGTTGTTTGGTTATAGAGAAAACTCTCCTTGTCTTTTAAAGAAAATGAACAAGGGGCAAAAACTTTACGTTCGATTTTCTCAAAACAGCATTTTTCGGGATAGCCCACTGTACCCAAAAGCGACCAATTATAACGCCGTCTTCACCCAAAGCCCTTGCCATACTTCTCTCGGGCAAGGCAGGAAGGGGCTGACAATTGGGCGGATCTCAATTTCTACAAACCCCTTTGGTCGTTTTGTAGATTCCTTGCCGACTTGGAAATAAATTAACGCTACTAAATTGAAGGCTCTCTTGAAATCGGAAATTGAGGCATTAAAACTGTTTTGATGACGACTGTGAATTATATCTTAAGTACTGGAAGAAAATGGGGGAAGGGGTGGGGATGGAGCGACTGAGTGATGTGGAAGAGGAGGGGCGGGATGTGCACTTTGGATTATATTTTTAAAAGGTTTCTTTTTAATGTTTATTGCGTTTTTCCTCGGAATTTCCCCTTTTCATTTCTGGCAATTTCGGGTAATTATGACTTAATGGCTTTGCTAATTATTTTGCATGGTAATTAAGCAATGATGGGAAATCAGAGAAATATTTCAGGAAGCTCATTTAGGACAGCGTGAGGTGGTTTTTTTTATTGCTTTGTTTATTTTTTGTTTGTTTGTTTGTTTCTCGTTTCATCAAAAACGTAGCGGGACATTGGACGACGTCTTTCGTTTCTCCTAGAAATCAGCTATTATCTTGAAACTATTTGTATAAATTCAGGCATGCACCGCATAAGGTCATAAGAACGTCAAGGGGTGGATGTCAACAGAGAAGTCCAAACGGGGAGTCAGGCTTACTCTGTTCACCTCTCAAGCCTCTACAGCACAAAGTCTGCTGCGACTATAAAGGCACCCAGAAAATAGCAGGTCACAAGAGAGCAACAAACATACAAACGAAGTAGAGGAAAAATGACGATAGTAAGAATGAGGGAAAAAAGCAGCAGTTCCTCCTATGTTGTTCCGGCACAGTATGAGCATGGCATTGATAAATCAGCCCATTTGCAATTCTACTGTGCTTAAGAACATGTTAATATCCCCCCCCCCTTTTTTTGGGAATGGTCTAAAGACAACTTAAGTCAGTAGCACTGGACAGAGGGGGGGGGGTTAGTCTGCTTGGCGTAATCAATTATGAACAAATGTATAGAAAAATATCCATATCACGCCTGTAGATAAATAGTAAGACATGGCCTTACAGTTCCTAGGTCCCACACATATTGACGACCGTCTCTACCATTTTTTTAAATACTGTATTTACGTTCTCTACCTGATACTGTATCTAGGTTCTCTACTTTATACTGTATCTAAGTGGTTGGTTGGTGGGTGCTCTGGTGTGGTTTGCTTCTTCTTTCCTATCAAACATCTATCGTCTTTATCTCCCCTCCTTCTTTTTTGTGTTTGTTACTCTCTTGTAACACCTCTAATCTTCGGCACTTGTATGACTTTATAGTGTTGTAAGTAAAACACTCACTAAAACTAGTTTTTAATACTTTATCTACGTTCTCTACCTTATACTCTATATATAATTCTCTACCTTATACTCTATATATAATTCTCTACCTTATACTCTATATATATAATTCTCTACCTTATACTCTATCTACGTTCTCTACCTACGTTATCTACCTTATACTCTATCTACATTCTCTACATACGTTCTCTACCTTATACTCTATCTACGTTCTCTATCCCACGGCCTAGCTCCGCGGAGAGATGAAGTCGATGCTGGCGTCATCAGAACAGGCCGGCACGCGCACAATGACGGACATGGACGCGCGCATGCAGAGCCTCAAGCAGAAGGTGAACAACCTGGAGCAGCAGCTGGACGGACGGATCTCTGAGGTGAGGCCAAGGATGTTATACATGTACAGTGAGCTTGTTCTAAGGTCTTTGGGTGAGGCCAAGGATGTTATACATGTACAGTGAGGTTGTTCTAAGGTTATACATATACAGTGAGCTTGTTTTAAGGTCTTTGGGTGAGGCCAAGGATGTTATACATGTACAGTGAGATTGTTCTAAGGTTATACATATACAGTGAGCTTGTTCTAAGGTTATACATATACAGTGAGCTTGTTCTAAGGTCTTTGGGTGAGGCCAAGGATGTTATACATATACAGTGAGGTTGTTCTAAGATCTTTGGGTAAGGCCAAGGAGGTTATACATATTCAGTGAGGTTGTTCTAAGGTCTTTGGGTGAGGCCAAGGACGTTGTACATATACAGTGAGGTTGTTCTAAGGTCTTTGGGTGAGACCAAGGACGTTATACATATACAGTGAGGTGTTCGAAGGTCTTTGGGTGAGGCCAAGGAAGTTATACAGTAAGGTTGTAGTAAGGTCTTTGAGTAAGGCTAAGGATGTTATACATTTTATATATACTGAAAGGTTGTCGTAAGGTCCTTGGGTAAAGCCAAGGATGATCTAAGGTCCTTGGGTAAGTTCCTGCAAAACATGACTAACTCCAACTCCGCCCGATGTCTCCCCAGCAGTGATCACAGATCCTGTGCACCATTTATTTATTGATAACATCAACGGAATTAAAAGGACGTCTACGGCACTTATATGACCTTATTGTGTTGTGAGTGCCGTAAAACTCTTACTAAAGCTAAAACTAAAACAAGGATGTCTAGAAGTAATGTATAACCCTACCCCCCCCCCCATGTCTCTGTTCGCGATGACGTTCACAGCCCTCTGCTTTTTAAATTTCTGCAGTCAGATGACTCCACAACGCCACTGTGACCGAGAGAGAGAAAGAGAGAGAGAGAGAGAGAGAGAGAGAGAGAGAGAGAGAGAGAGAGAGAGA